ATGCCGGTTTCACAGCCACAGTTTCACTGCTTGAACTATTGCCAGATAACCACATCCACCAAGAACATGGAGGGCACACTGCTGGAAGAAGACAGCTTAAACATTGCTTAGTGGATCTGCTACATTCTCCATGGCCAGCTGAAGGAATGCTGTGAAGCCTCTCTCCAGCAATGTTAAATGATCTGGTCAAGTATTTGCTGAGCAATGTAGGTATATTTAATATTTCATTTTCTGTTTCAGAGAGGTTCTGAAACACTGAACTGCACAGAAATAGTCTGTGTCAGCAGAAAAGCTTGGTTATCTTTGGCGTCTTCTGAAGTTCTTCATTCTTCCAAATTCCTCATAGGCAGTAGGAGTTGTCGCTTCGTTCATCATTAACACTTACATTGTTCTTAATTTTTCTTTAACCAAACATCTTTTGTGACTTTGAAGTCTGCCTCTATCTGTTCTCAGGGATCACAGTTTTTATCTTATTGGCTATCTCAGCATCTCTGGCTTTACTGCAAGCAAAAACAGCTGCATTGCTTCTCTTCTTTTCTCAAAGAAAAGCTTTGCATTCTTGTTGCAGCTTTTCACCTATAATCAGCATTCAAAATGTCATTCCTTCTCTACACTGTTTCTATGCTTGTGAACACTGCTTCACAGGGAAATTCATCTAACATCATTATCTGAGCCTCTTCATGATGTTCTTTTGATCGCATTCTATGTTTTGTCTATTATGTCTGTATTTTCCTGTCAATCATACCCTTTTCTTTGATGCCCTGTATCGATTACTGACTGCATTACAGACTTCAGACTACAGAATCACTAAAGTGATTCTTTAATAACTAAGAGAATTAGGAGAACTGCTTTACAGAGTTTTATCTTCAACTGCTTTATCTTCAACTACCACTCATATCATGTGCAGGCAAACTTATTTCTTCCCAGATAACTTTTCTTCACTTTGTGCTATTTCTCAATTTACTTCTTTCATACCATCTTTTATTACATTACTATATTTTATTATATTATTTTATTTCATTGCTATATTCCCTAGTTAATACATTCTGTAAAGTTCTTCCTAGAATTGTCCTGCTCCTCAGCTTCATGTCAAGGATATCAGCACATGAAAATCCCCACTCAGGCCCACAGGCACCTGTTCCTTTATCAGAGTACAGTGATCTAACATCTGTGACAGCAGTGCCTGGATACGTTATGGCTGCACACCATGAGCTGACAGAGACTGTGATGAAGAACTCCTGGAACTCAAAGCTAAGCATTTATTTTAATGGGCCAATATCACACAGACTACTAATGTACTGTACAGAATGTTAATGGCAATCAGTATGAGTGATTTTTATTATAGATTATTACAGACTGATAGAGGTGGAAATTATGTATTCTGTTCTAAAGAGAATGTAATTACAGAATGACAACTGCATTGTTAGCAGCCAAAAGAAAATGCTCCTCAAGCACGACACAGCTTGGACAGCAGCTGCATTGGCTTCCAAAGACTGCCTCATGTTTATACAGAATTCTCTGTTTTAAAGGGGCAAATCTGGGACCATAATGGGCAACCAGGAAAAAAAGAAACAATGAGAAAATGAAACTGACAAAAAGAGAACAGTTTGGCTTGACAGGGAGCTGTCATTTTCTCTTACCTAGGAGTCAAAAAAAAGAAAAAAAAAGAGAGAGAGAGAGAGAAAACAGAAAAAAAAAAAGGCACCTACTAGTTAACAACTTACTGATAAAAACTGAACATTCTGAACCCCTTACATTGTCGTATACAAGCCTTTGAGGGCAAGAATCTAAGCAGCTGAAAGAAAAATCGATTTGCACTGATGAGCTGTGCAGAGTCCCCATCTGTCCTCAAGCCTACATGGCTGTGTGGTGATGACATCCCATGGTGTAGATAGGTGCATTCTCTTAATGGAAGAGGAGAGAACACTTAAACATTTGAATTTTGTCTATTTCCCGTTCCTCCAACCCTTCCAATTCACTTCTATTCCAGATCCACGGATCCGTGAAATTAAAACAGTAATCTTCATGTTACAGAATTGCAGATGCACTTATCTCTTAGTGATAAAGCTAAATACATCCTTTGTGCACGTGATTTCAAAACTACTTTACTTAATATCAGCTTCCTTTTAGTGCAGACTATCGAGGAATATTATAACACTTACAAAGTTAGAAATCTGTAAAAGCAATAATTTGTGATAGAATTTCCAAGATCTCAGGAGCCTGCCAGTGTATCACTTTCAGGAGCTGAGACGGTAATCTGTTTGACTGAACAAATCTTGTTGTTCTTTGTACTCTCCTTTCATTAACATAATTAAATATTTGCAATGGATGGTTACCACGCACACACCTGCCACGTGGAAACGTGATGCTTACAGAAAGACAGGTTGTCTTTCCAAGGCTGAACACTCCACAACTAAAATGTTTGATGTTGTTGTTTGGTGATTATACAAAGCTCCTGAAGGAAAATCTGCACTACTGACAGCATAGCTCTCTCCAGGAATCTGCTGGAAATACAGCTTTGTTTCCAGAATTACAGTACCTGGGTAGCAAACTGATAATGATGCACAAATTAAATTAAGATCTGATATGGTTTGGGGTATGGCAGATCATACTTACTGATCATTCAACACTTAATCTATCACATAACACAGAGGCTCATCCAGTCAGGAAATCACAAACAGTATGTTCCCAAAATAACACAGGAAATGTACATTTTAAATACATGTTGTAGTTTTTCTTTCAGCTTTGGTGTCTATATTCCTTGTTATATAAACGTATGCAAAATTAATTCCACTCCTATAAGCATGCAAAAACTCTGGGGGGAAAATAGCACATGGGAAGGCCCTGACTGAGAACACATGTATATATAACCTCTCAGTAGTAGATAATTATTGTCCCTGTTTTTACAGGCTTCAGGTCTTGGGACTGCCCTGTGACTTTGACTGAGGACAGCAGCTCTCTCTAGAAGCTACAGTTGGCTGCAATGCTGAAATCAGCAGAATCAAGAGAATGAGGTCTCCTGGGAAATGAGCTTATCAGCAGACTCCTAAGTGCATACCCATTACAACCTGCAGCACAGCGTTCTCCTCCCATTAACATTGAGCCTGCCAAGCAAAACAGGAAGCAGTAAAATAAGGATTATCTCATTTTAATTACGTTTGTATAAATGACATCTGTCCAGTTAAATTATCTAAATTCAACACAGGATTGCCTTACCTAACAGTGGGTCTATCGGCTGCATTCTAATCTATGAGTAAGCAACTGGTGCCTCTCTTCCACCAGTCCTACTGAAGGAGTTCAGATAATGAATTTAAAACAAATAGACTTGTAAGTGGCTGGAGCTAGGTGCAGTGAATCCCATCTCTCCTGACCATTTTATTATTCTGACACTTTGGGGAAATAGCATGGTTGAAAACCACAGTAATATTTTCAGCTGTTTCATTTTCAGTGACCACACACAGCACCACAGTGTCTTATCAAAATAATGAATTCAGTTAAGCCAGGGCTTTCTCTGTAGAGAACAGAAGTGTGAAATCTCTCCTGAGGCTGTTCACTCTTCACAGCCATTACCCAATTTGCGAAGCGCTCTCACACCTCCTCCTGCCTCAGATCAATTACTTGTTGCTGTGCTGAGTCTTTTCTCCATGACTGCTCCAGCCCTTCCCCTCCCACCTACTGTGCTGGATGTTTCCACCAGAACACATTGAAAGCCAGTGCCAAGCTTGAGCATTTGGAAAACAAAAACTGAGGTGTAATTGCAGGAGAGCTAACATACGTCTGGTTTACTTCCAGCATATTTATCAGCAGACAGGAACATAAGGTAGGTATTTAATGGGAATTGCAAAGCTTCTTCTAGCTAATTCATGTCTGGAGCCTGTTTCATGGGTAATCTCTAATTACCCTCTTGTATCAGGCTTTTCCTATATAACGTTTGTGGTGTAAATTATTCAGTGTAGGCAATGATGTCAAATTCCATTAACTTGTAAGGAGCAAGGAGATACCCATATGAAAAGAAACTGCATGCGTGCAAACCACTGCCTAGCTCATGGCACTGCAGCCAAACTTCCAAATGCAATGAAGGAGATCTCTTGTCAAGCACCTGCACAACCTCTCCAAAGGAGCAATGAAGCAAAAGCAGACGTTCTGCTTACATCCACTTCAATATTTAGTATACACAAGTGGCTAAACTTAATTAAGGTACTTAACTTTTAATAGTATCAGTATTCATCAGTAGAGACGTAAAATCCCAGAGATGTAATGCACAAGTAGGGTTCTGGGGCATCACTTAAGAGTAGGCTCAGTGTTTCAGGGCAAGTGAGGAGTGCCACTGGACGTCCATGGACCAATCTGAAACAGCCCTCAGAAGGCTGCGGGACAGAATGGCTATCCCTGCATGTTGTAATCCTCTGACATACCTATAAACAAACGTACATTTGTTTTGTTACCTTTTGGAGTACTGCCCTCAGCTTCTCAAACGCTCTTCCAATATAGCCAGTAAATTTAACACAGTTATACTGCTTAGGACACAGGCTGAAATCCGTGTGTTTTGGCTGGATCAAAAGTCTGTTTATTAACAAATATTATGAAAACAAGCGAAGAAGAGTATCTGAGATCCTAACTGACTGCAGGAAAGATGCCCAAAGAACACTTAGAACTCCACTCCCATACATTTGCACGGTGCCTGAAGTTCTTCAAGTAAGACCTGAAAACAGAACTTGCAGTGTGTAGGTTTCCTGGCTTTGTTTTGAGAATATAATTTCAGTTTTAATCACACTCTCTTTGCCATTTTTAACGCACTGTCAGATATGAACAGTCAGATGCAATGAGTCACAGATCTTCCGGAAGATGACTTTTTTGGCTGACAGAAAGACGGGAGGGCGGTGAAACAACAACCAGATGTTTCGGTGTTCCACATTCCGCTGTTCCACGAAGAGCCCAGCTCTACCGCGGCCGGCAGCCCTGGAAGGAGGAGAGCGAGGAAGAGGAGGAGTAGAAGGAGGAGGAGGAGGAGGAGGAGGAGGAAGGCGGCAGCTCCGCCCCGGCGGTGGGGGGCCGGGCTGCTCTCCGCCGCGCCGGTGGGGACGGTGGCAGCCGGCGGCGGGGGCTGCCTCGGCCGCCTGCGGGGAAGCAGTGCTGCCCCGCTGCGCCCTCCCGCTCCGCCGCGCACTGTTGTCATGGAGGAGCCAAGATGGCGGGCCTGGCCTACACCCTGGGCAAGCGGGAGATCAACTACTACTTCAGCGTGAGGAGCGCCAAGGCGCTGGCGCTGGGCGCCGTCCTGCTGCTCGCCGCCTGCCACGCCGCCTCCCGCCGCTACCGAGGTGAGCGGGGCCGCGGGAGGCGGAGCTGAGGGAGCGCGGGCGGCCGGCGGCCCTCCGGCCGGGGAGCCGTGTGGGCCGGGCCGGGGCCGCCCAGGGCCCCCGGAGGCAGCTCGGGCTGGGGCTCGGCGGGAAGGCCGTGCTCGCTGTCCGAGCGGGCGGAAGCGCGGGGCCCTGCCCGCGGCTGTGCGAGGGTTGGCAGCCGGCACCTGGCGGGCACCGCCATTGCTGACTGAATTGGCGGAAGGCTTTGGTATGCTTTTCTCGTTTTATTTTATTTTTTTACCCTCTGTTCAACTGTTGGCTCAAAATTCAGTACCTCGGGTGGATGCAGCGAAATGAGCAGCTGCTTGTTTTTGTGTGGGGTTGGTGGACGAGGACGGTGTTGCGTGACCCGTAAACGGCAGTGAGAGCCGCTGAGGAGAGCCTTCTGCTTCGCTCTTGAGCGTGGAGCGTGTTTTTGTGTGTAAACCATGAAGTTGATCCAAAGGCTGCGTGCTGCTGGACAAGTGGCGCCGTTCTGCACTGGGGCTCGTGACCTGCGCTCCAGGATGGTGGGGATGAAGCACTCTATTGTGGAAATGCGGAATGGAATAGGGAGCCTTTACAGATTCACCCTCCAGCTGACACGTCAGTAAATCTAACAGACTGAAGAGCAGTAAGTTGTGAGGCATTGAGGTGTTTTCTCACTGGTAGAGGAGCTCGGATATGAAGTAACTGAGCTTGTTTTGCTGTGTAACCAGAGGCTGGAATCCATCTCAAAACTAGATGGAAGGAGGCTGGAAAATGTGATGCTTTTCTTAAGAGACTGCTTGCAAGGCTGGCCTGAGAAAACAGGGACTTCTGTATACAGCAAATGAGCAAGAAGGCACTCTGTGCATAAATGGGATGCATGATCAGAGAGCTGTTGAGGCTGTTGAGTCACAAACCACATAAAGATAGGAGTCTACAGGCTTCAACAGAAGTTGATTGAGTCAATGTAGGTTCTCATGAAGTTCTTTCACCTAAAGCTTTTGGTTTCTTTGACCCACTTTAGGTTGAGTGAGGATTTCTTAGAAAATAGAAGTTCTATCCAGCTTGGTCTTCTTTGAGCAGGTAGTATTCAAAACACAAATGGTTTGGAAAAGGAAGATGGAGTGTTTATAGCAGAGAAAAGTTTTGGGGATAGACAAAAGCAGATGTTGCTGAGAGATTGTTTTGCAGCTGTTCAGTAATGTTAAACAACTGGAGTTCAGCAAAGGAAAAACAGAAGATTTTACTGTGATACTGCGAAGGCGAAGCTGATTATTGTCAGTGATGCCGATGACTCCCTCTTGGCCATAAAATCCTCACACAGGGGTTGTAGAGAGAAGGGCATGGATCAGGTGTGGTCTGCAAACCTGCTGTCAGTGGTAGAAGCGAGGTTCTCATGGCCCAGAGCAGCAGGGTGATGGGAATTGAACTGTGCCAGAGGAAGGAGCGCTCTGTTGTGCTTTTTCACACTGTTTTCAGGCATCCGTCATTGGCTGCTGCAAGGAAGAGGGGAGCAGGAAAAGCAAACTGTCATGTGAACAGCAAAATACCCATTCGTGTGGATACTGTCTTTCTTTTGTAGATACACAGGAATGTGGAGGAAAAGGAGACCTGCATATAAATAAAAAGTATACAAATATAACCACTGTGGAAGCTTGTTTGTTTTTTACCCAAGAAATTGGCTCTTTCCATAATCAGTTTCTTCAGATACTAAACCTTGCATTAGTTTATGCTTCTATGCAAAAATGCTGAGCTGCAGTTGGGGTAGGCTAAATTCATATTCAGGGAGACTGTTGTATTTAAGGGTCACCTATTTTTCTGCAAAAGTTTGAATGAGTTAAGTTAAACTGTCTTTAGCTTTAATACAGCTTCTTCATAGACTTAATTGTACTATTATCTGTATAATATCCAGTAAAAGCCAGTAAAAAGTTATCAGCACATTTCAGTTATTAGTGTATTTCAAAGACTCAGTCTTACAACTTGTTGGAAATAAGTTTCTATTTTTTTTTTTTTTTTGCATTCTTAGAGTCTTTATCATTGAATGATCACATTCAGATCTAGATTTTAACTTTGAATAGTAGTGAATGGTTGGATTTCCATTTCTTTGAAATTCTTAGTGTTGATCTCATTAATGGTTAAGAAGGTGCATTTCCAGAGGCACCATCTTGTATGTAACCTCCAGCTTACTGTCTTAGCTGTTGTTTCCATCTCTCCTTTTTTTGTTCCTTCCTCACTGTTCCTTTCCCATTCCTCGCCCCCCCCATCCAAGCTTCTACTACTTACTTAAAAAAAAAAAAAAAAAAAAAGACTCAGGGG